AATTGGATTAAAAGGCACGACAGGTGTCGTGCCAGTAGCACCTACGGCCTGATGACTTCGACAATTGCGGAACTAGTCAAATGTTACACCCATGCTCAATCCATAAACAGATGGGACGGAATCAAAGGATGCAATCTTGTCAGGATCATCCTGGGCTACCCTGGGAAGCTGGCGCCGAAGAAATATCTGGCGATGACCAGGACAAATCTACGCTTAACTGTCAACTAAGAAAACACCTCCATAATATGGGGCTAGTGGAGACACGTCTATGCAGGATGTGTGAATAGGAAGATGAAACTGTCAGGCATGTCATTTGAGATTGTACGGAGTTATAGTCAAAAAGATAGTGTGTGTTCGGGGAATCTTGGCCTATACCTGCCGAAATGAGGGAGATGTCTCCCAGTGAACTGTCCATCTTCTTGGAAAGAACAGGATGGACGATGACCTAGGAGGACAACTCCTTGGGAGGATGTACAATGGGTCATATGTGGCCTAAGTGCTGTGGGCCTACACTCACCCTCCCTACTCTACAGATACAGAGATACATACTTATTGTATCGAGGGAGGAACTGTACATATAATTATTACCAAGTATCAAACCTTTTCTTCATTCTTGCACATTTTATATCACTCACATATTTTCATAATTTACTGACAACCTCACTTTTAATATTTTCAGTTTATTACTTGACTTGTCATTTCCTTATTAGAAAGAACGAGTTCTTAAATTTACCGATGAGTCCACCGATGGATCCTAGGTGTCCATATATTGGTCTATTCGAAAAGTTATCGCATTTATATTGGTCGAAGCAATCTATAGAATTTTTGTTTGGCTTCAAAATCTCGTCCAAGATGTCTATTCAATACGTATATGGAAATGTAAGTGAAAGATGAAATAATTATGAATCCATAGTGGGATATTCTACTTCTCCTGTAAAAATAATTGCTACGGGAAAAGGAGTTACCTGTTTTCAGAAACTATCGTGAATTCATACACGTGAATGACATTTCAAATACATCCTCTGATTTTCCGTTTCAGATATTTTTTTATATGGATTGATAATATAATTTCCATGGATATCCTTCTGGAGTCATTTGTTAAGTCCATAGAAAAGTATTAATGAGAAGAATCCTGTGGACGTCCATTTTGCGTCATTAAATAATAAACTTTTCATGGATATTCATTGAACTTCCTTTTAATATCCATGTCGATGTAGTTGGAATCGTTTTCATTCAATATATAACCTCTCAAATGCTTCTCGAATCTCTGGCTGGAACTGCGGCCCGTCTGCCCTATATATAAGGCATTGCAGTCGTCGCACTTGAGCTATTAGTCTCCAATTTTTTTTAATTTGTCCCCTACTGACTCAGAATGCATTTTTTTTTCGTCTTGAATGCTAAATTCATGTCTTGTTTCTGAAAAAAACTAGAATATTCTGTTTGAAGAATAACTGATATAAGTTAGACATGCAAAACAATGATCATTATTTCCATTGATTTTAGGGTAAATTAAATTTAATAAACAAGATACCAGCTACGCCAATAATCTCAATCAAAAAGTTTGAAATTAAATATATTGAAATCTATAGAAATCAAATAACATCTTGCTAACAAAGACATTGTTTTGAATGATCAGATAAGACATTTATAATTTTCCAATCATCAATAATGTTATTAGTAATTCTCCAAATGCCCCTTGATACCTCTCTTTACTTTCCGATGCAACTTTTACTATTTAAGAGTATGACATCACATACCTAGGTTGGTTTATAACTCGTTCTGAAGATGACACGGTGTGCCAAAACAGCTGTCAGAATTAAATGTTAGTGTTGTGTGAATTGTCATTTTATTCAATTGTTTCGGGATGAAGGGAATTTCAAAGTCGCAGCCTTTTTTAAGTTGACTCATGGACTATAGATGCCTAGATAACGGCTAGTTGAAAATAAAGTACCTACTTACGGAAAGGGTGGTAGATAAGCATACAAAAAGGTCATGTGTGCATAAAGAGTGGGAGCACCATCATGTTGGAAGTTAAATAATTCATACAACTTCAGTTCTGATGGTTTATGTGAGTCGATTTGTGTTTCACATTCGGCAAAATTTTCCATTGTTATGCCAAACATGGGTTTGTATGCATTTTGGAAGGAAATTTGCATTATTGGAAGTTCTATCTCGATCAACTTGATTAGGCAACCCGAGAGTTTATCGCCTGATGAAGTCAGGAAAATGGATGACATAAGATTTCAAGAGGGTACATGTTTTCACCAATTAAATGATGGTCTCATATCTCAATTGTCAATCTAAATTACTGTTATAATGGATAAACTTGGGAACTACCTATAGATTTTAATTTTTTTTCCACTTATAGAAAGCTTCATCATCATCAAATTACATGGGCTGAGTTTTATTTAAAAGAAAATATAAATGGTTACAAGGCCAACAATAATGTAACCCAAGGTATCAAAAATTTGGCCACTTGTTGATATTTCACCAGTTCGGACAATATAATATGATTTGAAAAAAAACGAATGAAATTGTAAAGAAATAGCGTGAAATAACAACTATATTGAGCAAAAAATTGAACAGTCGAAGATGAATAATGAAAACTAAAAAATATGCTTCAAACCAGGTTACTTCACGACGTTTTGATTGTCAGTATCCAAAATCGTATTCGCCTCTCTCCGCCTCACGAGTTTAGTGGGAGTTGACCGTTTTTCCGCTCTCTACCATAGCTTGGCTGGAGGCGTGGTTGGAGCTTCTTTGAATTTCCTCTTAAACCAGAGTTTTCCTCTATGTATGATCTCAGCTTGGGACCACTTGATGTTGAGTTGGTGAGTGCAAACATGCTCTCCTATTCACTATTTACTGGTTTCTCCTCGCTGTGTGTTTCTCTTATGCTCGACAATGGAGACTCTCAATGGTCTCTTATTGTCACCGATATAGGATTGGCCCGGTTTCTCGTGAGGCTGCTACGGATGATAGTTTCTGATCTGAATCAGGTTCTGGATGAGGTTCTTGCTGTCAAAATCTGTTCCATAATCACTTTGGAGTAACCATTCCATTGAAGGTCTTTTTGGTGATGCCTAGTTCCTTCTCGAGACCCTCCTTCGTATTACAGAGCCTGTAATCACGATCCACTAGAGTTTTGATGATTCCTCTTTTGGTAGATTGATGGTGGTTGGATTATTGATTCAGATACTCTCCCGTGTGAGTGGGTTTTCGTTATACAGATGTTTCCCACTTGGTGTTGGTCCTCTTCACCAATATTTCTAGGCATTGCAATTTGTTGTGGATTTCCTTCTCCATTGTGAAGGCGATGAAAGATTTTTCGCTGTTGATGTGCTTCAGAAAGGTGTCTAGTTCTGTATTTTCATGGTTTCAAGCTATGAAAGTGTCGTGTTTCTCAACTAGACTCGAGGTCTCTTATGGGCTTTATGAATGGCCAGTTTATTTTTCAATTATTGTTATTCATTGTAATTTCATTTCACTGCTTGTTACTTAATATAATTGTTATAATTTAATATTTTTTCGTTTTTTACCCTTCAATTAGGATGAACTTCATGATGAGGATGATGATGATGAAATATATTATGAAATGAAAGCATTAACAAGCTGTCGATATCTATCTCGTATCATTGTAATCCAGCATCTTGCCTACTATATTTAGTTTCTATAAGTTATAATCTGTCTCAACGGATAGAAGTCCCTACAATAATAACAGCTAATACTCATACCCTTATTGATATCTTGGTAACATTAGAAAAGGATGATATACAGTAAGTTGAAGTTTTAGATATTGGTATCTCCGATCATCTTGCAAGTACTTGTGAAATTATATCACTGGAAACAACATCAGCGGATTCTGAAAGATCAAATTGATTATTTTGTTTACAATAATAATTTAATAACAAATGTTCAATCTGGATTTCGTACATTCTATGGCACCACCACCGCTCTTGTCAACCTCACCCAAGATTTATTCAAAGCAACTGATAATAATGAAGTAACTGCCATGGTACTCTTGGACTACAGTAAAGCATTCGATAAATTAGACTACAATATTCTGTGTAGGAAAATGTCATTTCTCGGATTTAGTGAAGGAGACTGTAAATCTATTGAAAAGTTACCTTACAAATCGGACCCAGTCAGTATGTCTGGATGGAAAGTGTTCTAGTGCTTTACCTATTGATTATCTATCCTTGGCCCAATTCTGTTCTCTCTATATATATATCTGACTTACATAAAATAATTGATCATTGCACAGTTCATCATTATGCAGATGACACTCAGTTAAATTATCGATTTCCTACAAGTAACTGGCAGGTGGCAATGGAAAAAATTAACAGCGATCTACAAAAGTTACTGGATCTATTTATAGCCCATAACCTGAAATTGAATTCTGAAAAATCTCAGCAGATACTTTCTGGCCCAAAACACAAAAGACGGGAAATTGAAGGAAGAATTGAAATCCAACTTGGACAAGACTTACTACAAACAATTACAAAAAGCAAGAACACGGGTTTATCGCTAGATGATGATCTGAGATTTCACAAACATATAAATTCACTTTGTCGTAGCTCATACAGTATCTTACGTCAACTCCATCAAAGTAGAGATATTATAACTTCCAAATTGGAGTTGAAACTTTGCGAAACCCTCATATTGTCTAGATTAGCATATTGCGATATAATCTACGGGCCTGCTTTGATACAAACTGATGTAAATCGCTTACAAAAAATACAAATTTCTCAAACATTTTGGAAATCAATTATACTGTGGGTGATAAGTTTTTGTGAATATGACTTGTATGATTTTTTCTTATATGAATGTAAAGGTCTAACTTTCTGAGAGAAAAAAACTATGAAAACTATTGAAATTACAAATATACAGCAATAACCATATCCTCATTTAATAAAATATGAATCAATTTCCCAATGAATTCTGAATCAGAAGACGTTGAAATCAAATATGATGAACTGAAGAATTGATTTTTGTTTCAGGCAAAATTAGAAACCAAAGCGCTGAAAGCAAAACGTCCTGGATTTACTGATGATCGTTACAACGAAACATCATATTACATAGAAAATGGTAAGTCAATACTTAACATTTGAATATCTGAACAATATAAAATAACGAAGATGATACCTGTGGTGAAAATGACACTCCCAATAAGAGGGTTGCCTGTTATATTTCTGGATAGACAAATATTAATCATCAAAAAACACTTTATTGTTTTTCAAAATATTCCCCATGAAGATCTATACACTTTTGCATGCGTTTGAACTAATTGTCGAAGCACTTTTGCCACTCCAATTGAGGTATCTCCAAAACATGCATTCTGAATTCAACAACCGCTTCTTCAGGTGTCGAAAAACGTTGACCTCTCAGTTTGTTTTTCACGTGCGGGAATAAAAGGAAGTCATTCGGTGCCAGGTCAGGACTATACGGCGGATGACTCAGCAAATCGATGTTTTGCGTGCTCAAAAATGCACTTGTTTGAGCCGATGTGTGAGAGCTCGCATTGTTGTGGTGAAGAGTGATACGTCTTCGGCGGTTGGTTTTCCTGATTTCTTGGAAGATAACTGGCAAACAAATGGATATGTACTACACAGAATTGACTGATCTGCGTTGTTCTAGTGGTACGGTTGCGACATGTCCAGTTTTTCCGAAAAAACAGGCGACCACTTGCTTGCAAGTGCTTCGTGCTCATCCTGAAACACCTATGCAGTCGACTGCTGTTTACTTTCGAAATCATACGCGTAAATCCACGATTCATCACCTGTCACGATGTCATAGACGTGTATCAAAGCACCGCGATCGTATTTTTTGAGCATTTCAATAGTTATAAAGTATATGAACCTTATTATCTGTGGTTTAACGCTTTTGTATGCCTTACTTTGAAGAGGAGAAGATAGATACATCTATACACACATAATGACATTAATGAGTAGGTCTTTTAAACGAATAAAAAATTTCGATAATATCTCACACACAACTTGTTTTATTCAAATTTAAAGACACGAAGCTCTTAATGAAGGACCCTATACTTTACCATCATTATCTGCATATGATCAGTTGATCTTAACTCATTTCATTCACACAAAATACAATAATTCTACGAGTATAAACACCCATAATTCAAATCCATAACGCTCATATATTATCCAATATCAATATTTGGGTATTTCCGTTCGTGATTAGAATGTTACGGTCAGAATCTTGTTAAAACCCTCGTGATGCAAAGGTTCAAATACGGATCATTATGTGTAGGTACCCGTGGCCGATGAATTGATGGGATAATTCATTCATAAGTTATGGTAAGTGATAATCATACTGTGGATTGATATCTCGTTAGGTTGTCGTGATACTTATTGAATTATTCTGATAATGTTCTGTTATGGAAATTACTATCATTGTGGGGAGATTTATCAACGTCTCCCTATTGTTGTAAACTACATTTCAAGATGGAGTCGACATGGCGTGGATTAATCCTCTATTAAAGATTATACCCGGCGAACATTTTGTTTGCATACGTGAAAAAAACGTTTGCTTTTCGTTTTGGAAATTGTGGACAGAATCATAGTGACGCTTCCTCAGTACATTTTTTTTAAACGATTCCCAGTTTTTGGCGTTGTGTGAACATGAAATAATCAGATGAAATCAGTGCCAATTTGAGCCCGTTTACGATCAAAGACCATAGAGCGCTTTTGCAATCTGCTATAAGTCTCATCAGTGGTCTTAGGCTGAAGCGCAAATGCATTGCTGGACTCGATTATCCTTAAAGAAAACTCCAGAGCAAGTAAAGGCGACAATATCTTCACTTACAAGAAAACATGGCAGTGATAGCCAAAGTGGTCCAGATGGACCCCCGTGGATTCACGAGAGACTTGGCGGAGGTCTACGTTGGCGTTACAAAAAATGGGGGTTCTCATTTCGAGTCCACGAAAATTTATCTGGTTTCGATAGTGAAGAACTAAAACGTTAGCTTGACTTCAGCTACTAATGTAGGCAGATGATATTTAAGAAGCTCAGCGACTGTTACATGTAAAAACTTACAAAGCGCCGCGTCCATCCGCAACGCTTGTTCAGACGGAAGTGGAGAATGTTATATTACAAGAGGTGCTACTCAAACTTATCACTAATGAGGAGCTGAAGAGGTGAATTTCAGAAGAGGGCAGACATTTTGGCTGCAGGTAGAAATACCTGAAAAATATAATAATAATAAAAATAATGATAATAANGGGGGGCAAATTTTATGGAATCATCTTACTTTTCAATTATTTACAATAGCGATGCATAGACAATAAAAGTGACCCCGGTGAGAATTTAGTTCTAACATGTAACATTGTTGACGTTAGCTCTAAGTTCAGTTTGTATATGAGTTACCTTCAATTGAAAATCATGATACTATAGGTAAATTGTCAATAATATCTGATGACCTTTTTCTATCAGATCTCCTTAGAATGTGATTCGATTGAGGTTCACAGCTTCCTCTTTTCTGTTGAATTTTCCGTATATTTGTGGATTTCTAGTACCTCCCGTACCAGTCGCCTATGGTATCCCTGGTCGGGGGTAATGAGTTCCGTGTTTTCAAACATAATCTTGTGGTTTCCTTCACTGAGTGCGTGTTATGTCAAAGTCAACTTGTCCGTTTAACCTAGTCCGCAATTTGTCTCATGCTCCTTCAACCTTTATCCCATGGTTCCGATGTATATCTTTCCACAAGTGCACAATATGCGATAAACCCCCGCTGCTGATTGTGGGCCCCTTTTGACTTCAGCCGGCCTGAGGCTTTGTCGTATCTTCTTAGTGGATTTGAAAACCAACGGTTTAATGTTGTGTTTCCCCAAGAGTGTTCCAATTCTGTCCGTGACCCTTGAGGTATAAGGTAGATATACCTGTGCAACCATCTGAACCGTAGAACTCTGCAGTTTCATAGCTTTGATGAAGATGTTCCAGATCTTCCTCTAGATGCTCTAGTCCACATATTCTCTAAGCTCGTTCTGTTAGAGTGGAGAAGACTCTCTTTTGGCTAGTGTGGTGCGGTGGTTCGATATTGTAAGTACCTATCCGTGTGCGTAGGTTTTCGGCACAGTAGCACCATATCGTTCGATTAGTACATCTAAGAATGCTATCCGCTGGTCCTGTTCAATCTCCATGGTGAACTTGATTCTTGAGTGTTGAGCGTTCAAGTGGTCTAGGAAAAGGTTCACCCTAGTCAAAAGGGAGGAGTCATCTCCACTCTAACGGAACGGGCTCTGAGAATATGTGGACCAGAGCATCTAGAGGAAGAACTGGAACATCTTCAAGTGTCCTTGAGATCGAATGGATACGGTATACTCGAGATCAACAAAGCCATGAAACTGAAGAGTTCTACGCAGTGACGGCTCGTGCATTGGAGAACAGGGGAGGCTGAAGTCATAAAGACTATATATACACAGAAAAGCCCGCCGGAGGCGCGAACATTTTTTGGGGTACCGCACCTATTTAAGGCAAAATTCGTAATATTTGCATAAATGCAAACAAAAATTGTGTATTGCCAAAAATTATACGTATAAAAGTGACTTAATTATGCTTATCTTTGACATATCTAGTAGTAGTTTCATCAATTTCCCATACAAAAAAAAAACACTTTCAATCTCTTTGATTATATTTTCCTTAATAATATATGCCACACTGTCTATAAGCTCATTTTGGATGGTTTTTGAGGTGCCCGAAAAAACGCTACCGTTTAAAAAAAGTGCCAAATTGTGAATCATATTCGCCCCATAATACGAGGTAAATTTTTTAAATCGGAGTATCCTATTCTAGACCACATTTGGTATTCGGTTTGTACGGAAAATAAAACACAGGGCCAACAAAAAAACTTTTTCTCGTTTAATGGAGCCGGTAAACCAATCGCATTTATCGTACCAACTAATATCAAATTCTCGATTTTGTCGATTATCTGACGATTTAATTGAAATCAAATTTGGTTGAGGCCTTCCCAGAGTTTTGATAATGTAAAATTTATTATCATAAGATAAAGACTTGAAATTATTTGTCAGCAACCAATCGACTATATCGTCAGATTTTTTAATTTCGTCCAACTTATCCATAATAAATGAAAAAAAAAACTTACCGAAAAGTGAAAACCTGAAAACACCTTGAAATTGAAAGAAAACACTTTAAAAACACATTAAAAATATTACCAAAAAGCACTGCTATAATACAATACTGCCTGTTTTATACACAAATAACAAATATTATCAAGAAACACTAAAACGATTTACCGAAATATTTTTCAGTCCCGGTCCGTCACGGCATCCCGTCCGAATAATTAAATAAAAAACAAACGCAGTCGTACACTAACGGAGACCAACTGGAGGCTAGCCTCCTCTAACGCTATAATTTCTGCAACTGAAATTACAAATCGGGACGTATGTCGCTGGTTGGATCGGTCTCGTGGAGCCTGTGTTTTTTAAAGCGGTCGGAGGCTTGGCTCCCTTGCAACGTATGGCATTTATTATTTCGGGTTGATGGTTTATTCGTTATTCGTTCATGGGCGGTGCGTTTGAGTTTTGTTGATGCAGGATACAGTGTGGTACTTACTACGTAGTGAGTGATAGTGTTTTTTCGGGCATATTATGTATTTATATTGAAAATCAATGGTAAAGTAATGATACCCAAGCATTTTTAGAAAAAAAAATAATCATAATTATTTGTCAATATCTTTTAATTTATTGCGATGAATAGCCTCAAATTTTATGGGAAGGCTGAGCCTCCCTTGCCTCCTCTGATGAGCTGTCGCTGGTTCTACGGTTCAGAACGAGGGGAAGGCTCAGGTACGCGCGTATCTACCTTATATCTCGAGGGTCACGGATAGAATTGAAAAGCTTTTGGGGAAACACAACATTAAAACGGTTTTCAAATCCACTAAGAATATATAACAGAGCCTCAGGCCGGCTGAAGACAAAAGGGACCCACTATCCTGCATCCACTATCAGCAGCAGGGGTTTATCGCATACCGTGCACTTGTGGGAAGATATACATCGGAACCACTAAAAGATTAATGGGAACAAGGTTGAAGGAGGATGAGAGAAACTGCA